AGAATATTAAATGCAGCTTTGCTTTTTTGTTGAGTTCAAATTCCAGGCTTTTTGTGGAAAAGAGTCTCAGCATGTTCTTGATCTGGCCCAAGAGTTGTGCAGTTTGGGATCTTTGCAAGGAGCCTCATGGATGCTGTTCTGTTCCTCAGACAGAACATCTCGATTTCCACAGCTCCTCAGTGAGGCATTGCAAAGCCTCTTGGACCTCTGGAATTGTGATAGGGAGGGGGAAAAAACAGGATGGGTGTGGATGTGAATCCTGCAGGCAGGAGCAGACAGCTCCAGGGTCTCCTCATGTCACATTTTATGGTAGTGCACTGTACTCCTGGAAAGTTCTCTTCAGGAATTCAAGCTATTAAATGGGTTGTAAAATTGCAACAAAAGCTTCTTGCAAAGTCAAACGTGGCAGGCTGGAGGAGAAGCCAGGTGGGTACAAGCAGAACAGGATCAAAGCAGTTCTAATCTGTGTGCTGTAATGTGGAGAGGTGTTACGGCCTCATAAAAGGTTGCAGCCATGCTAATTCCACTCTGTCCTTTGGAGATGAGACATTTCTCCCTGTTGAGAGCAGGTGCTCAGGCTCCAGCAGGACACTCCTCAAAGCCCTCCTTGCTCCAGGCTGTAATTAGCAATTTCATTCCTTCTCTTATCACTAACAGACTCAGACTCTGTCCAGAAAAAAATGAAGTGTGTGCTCCACTTTCTCATATTGGTTCATAAGTTTCCCTTGGTTAATGAGGACTTTTATCCTTCTTTAGAACAGAGGCAGGAGAAAAAGGGGAAAAAAATCCTACATGATTATTCCTCCTTGGCAAATGTGCTGTGAAGAAGCTCCCTTTAGAACGTGAAGAAGTGTTAATGTCTTGGAAGAATAATAATTTTCTGTAATACTTCCCTGAAACTTAATTGGAGAATGACTCCAACTTTGCACTGAAAGAAGCATTTCCAATTACTGCTCTCCAGGAAAGCTGTCATTGTTTGTGCAGTTCAGAGATTTTATTTCCAATTGAGATTCTTTCATCCTGCCCTGTGATGCTGTGGGAAAGGGAGCCCTGTGTGCCTGAGCCAGGCTGTGCCAGGGAAATGCTGTGCAGGGAACAGTCCTGACACAGGTATGGAGTGGGACACGCTGCTTCTTGCCCCTGAAATCTGATTTTTGGGGCATTTTGCAGCAAGTCGGAGGAGTAGGAGTGAAGCCCACACCAGCTGTTGGAATAAATCTGTATCTGAATTTTTTATCTGAATTCTTCCTGCTGCTCCTCTACCCAGAGAAGCTGTGGCTGCCCCATCCCTGGAAGTGTCCAAGGCCAGGTTGGATGAGACTTGGAGCAACCTGGGATAGTGGGAGGTGTCTGCTCATGACAGGGATGGCACTGGGTGATCTTTAGAGGTTCCTTCCAACCCAAACCAGTCTGGGAGTCTGTGACAATCCCTCAGGACTGAGCCACAGCCTGCTCATGTACCACAGGAAGAGCAGAAGGTGCTTTGGGTGCTTTGGGCACACACACACCACTGTGAGATTCCCTTGATTTGGGCTCCCATCCCTGGAAATACCACCTGGCTCCTGCTCCTGGGGGCACTCTGGGCACTACAATGTGAGTGTCCAAAGGAGGGGCATGGGGATGGGGAAGGGTCTGGAGGAGCCCATGAGGAGCAACTGAGGGCACTGGGATGGTTCAGCTGGAGCAGACTGGGGGCACTGGGATGGTTCAGACTGGGGGCACTGGGATGG